AGTATTAAACTAAAATGAGGTCGTTCCAGAATGATCTTACTTAACATTGTTTTAATATAAGTACTTTGGAGCTTTTTTTTTGCAATTTTCAGTTAACTTAATAACTCATTTTGATAAACACTGTTATCTTGATACAATTTCTGAAACAAAAACCAGTGAAAAAACTTTGAAGCAATTTTCAGTGACTACGACTGATATTCAAATTTTTAAGTATAAGGAAAAAAGCTATTTGTGTAATAAATTTAAACAAAATTATTCATTCAATTATTTTAAATGTAGCAATACTTGAATCAAAAACTGAAAGTTTTTTGATAGAATTTCACCTTGAAATAACCTTCTACATTAATGTCGCTGCCATTCTCTATCAAATATTTAACAATTTCCAGATGTCCTTTTTCGAACGCAAAATGAATCAGTGCTTTCTAAAAAGCTTTTCAGCATTTGCTAAATGTACCAAAGAAGTAGCACTTTTTCACCAATATTTTGCGCTTATTATAGATATACTGTGTCAAATAGTGCATCTTAAAAGAATGAAAATAATTTGATCGCAAACTGCTAAGAAATCTCATCGAATTAAAGCAATAATTTTAATTAAGTCATTTTTTTTTAAACTATGAGATACAATTGTTGCATATTAAAATTTGAAGTACAAAATAGTTGCTTTAAAAAATTAAAATAATGAGAAAATAAAAGCAAAAGTTTATTTTCATCTTTAAAGTGCATTACTTCATATTCAACTTTTGCATTAATATCGGCTCCATTCTCCACTAAATATTTCACTAAATCTATACGTTCGTTACCAGACGCATAATGTAACGGTGTTCTTTAGAGAAAAGAGAGAGTTATAACCGGTTTATATCATTGAGTATCTGATAACATTACAAGGTTATCTATGGAAAGAGTTAGTTGCACACTATACAGTATAAATAATGTGACATAAAATTAGACAATAACTGTTATAAATTAGTTTGTCTCTATAATTGTCGCTAAATGTTGTGCACTGAAATAATGTTTCCTGTCAGCTCTCAGCCAAAACATTGTACAATTTTCATTGCTCTTGTCTAATTCTTGAGCAATGCATATTTTTTAATTGTATCTAAATGACCTAATATTTTTCACTTATTTTCAAAATAGGAATAAAATCGCAGCGCCAAGCACTAAAATCATAAAATCATAACAAGGAAACAAAAAAGGATTAAGTAGTTAAATTTTTTTAGAGAACGTTTTTAAGCAGAAATGTACTGACAATATGTTTTTAGATTTATACAAAAAAACACTTCTTAGTCTTATTTGCGAGGTTTTACCTCATCCATATTTTTTGTATTAACAATCGTGTCGTTCTGTCCCACAAACCTTTAAGCACTGACAGAACCTTTTGGAGATGCCGTTATTACCGGTACATACTAAAAAAAGAATTTTTACACTTTTTTTTTTTGCTTTTTAATTGTGCGACAATCTAAAGTTTCTTAAGCGAAAAGTCAAAAATTATTTGGCAGTTTAGACAGTATTTTTTTGTTTTTTACTAAATACTTTTTATCCAAAAGTTTCGTTTTGCAGTTCTAGAGTAAATTGAAGAATTTAAGCAGTTTTCGAATACAGTTACGCATTCTAAAAGGTCGCAAAACCCTTGAAAATAAGTTGCAATTATTTACCAAATTATCATTTCTTGTAACATTTTCAGCAATTTGTTGCTGCAAGTAACTCGTCACATCTGAGCGTCTATTTGCAGTTGCATAGTCTAGCGGTCTCTTCTGAGATTAAAAGAAATAGTTACATTTGGTTATTCTTTGAAATTTGTGTGCAGTTTTCCAATTCCACTTTTACGCCTATGACATCTCTATTTTCTTCAAAAAACTAGTGAAATTTTATGCTCTGATCATTGTTCTTCAAGTAAATACAATTCTTTTTACAGCTTTTTCTATTTTCGTCAAAAATGCTATTTAGCTCGAGAAATCAAAAAGAAAAAAAAAAATAATAATAAAGATAAAAAAAATAAAAAAAAAATAAATATTGAATTGTTTGCGCGCTTTTTAAAAATATGCATATTTTAAGATGCTACTGCTTATTTCGAAAAACAAGGTTTGAGGACTTTAAAGTGAGGTATGGTCTAATTTTATAAAAGATTGCCTCGTCTTTATCCTTTGCGTTAATATCGGCTCCTTTCCCCACCAAAAATTTTACCAGATTGAGATTTCCCACTATAGATGCAATGTGTAAAGGCGTTTTCTAAAATGAAGAAAGTCTCGATTTTCAGCTTTACAAATCCTTGAAGTGATGAGAAACTTTTAAAATATTTTACACTAATCGTAAACTTTCAAAACCGATTTTCAAACCTTTTTGTACAATTTGAGCTTAGAAGCAGAAAAAAAATAAATTTCACTTGTAATTTCTTTTGTAGAATTTGTTACACTGCTAAAGCAAGAGAACTTTTGCTTACTGACATGACAGTATTTGCATCAAAAACCTGTAGTGTAAGCGGTTGTTTGAAAGCCAAATGACTTTAATGTTATTGAAAAAACCCTGCAAATTACTCCACATTTTGAACTTAAGTTAAACAAAAATTGCATACGAAAAAAATAAAGCAAAAATTTGATTTAAAAGTGGCTTAGGGAAAGCGGCGTTTTTACACACTGATTACTCTATGCATCCATGCATCAATAGATGAGGCCTACGAAGAGGTTTTGTCGCAGCTTGATGCAGTCAAGGAAACATGTCGACTGTTGAATGTAACCCTGGGGTTACAAAGTCTCTCTCTGGCGCTGCAAACGTGCCGTTAGCAGTTGGAGATGTAAAAATAACAGTGAAGCATTATAGAAGGGTTTGTGCTTTTGTATCAGGAGGAAGGTAAAAAGGTTAGTCAGATGTATGGCACAGTAGTAAAAATAGTTGAAATGGTAACTTGATTTTATCAACGCGAAAGATGCCTAATTACCTAATTTTGAGGTAAGTCACGCAGTGGTTTTCACAGAAAAAGTGTTTAAATTTCCAAATTTGAGGTAAACCAGGTTCACTCGGAAACAAATGCATGTTGTGGGGGAAACGGGAGTTGTGTAATACTATAAAAATCGCTTGAAAGCGAACGTTGGTGGCTCATGCAAGTCACGGAAAGAAATATTAGCAGCCTCTCGTCGTTTCGATGAAACGGCAATACACTTAACTGCTCCCCTGCTCAGTGCCCATAAAACATGTAAAATGAGCACATAATAAAATGTTTATTTCGACTTTAAATTTACCCGGAAAATGTGAACTGATACAGTAATATTGCGAAGTAGCCACAGTCAAATCCTGAACTGGGAGCACTGAAAGTCAAGACGCTTCCAGCGCACCACATTGCTTTGCTTTTACGAGCGTTTTGAGATATGTGTGATCACAAACAGGGAGCTGCTTCGCTTTACTGAGTCCAGCTACTTCGCTGCTACTGTCCCCTTTCACTTTGCCACTCTCCACTTTCCTGTCCTTTTCTTCATCTTTACAGCAAAAAAGCAGTTAGTCATTTAGTGCGCAGGAGCCATTACTCTACAGAGTTACTAAAACTAACTCCAATTGTTATCAACGGCGATCAACCAGAGGTGTGGCAAGACAGCGTTGTAGATTAAAACATGGGCATACACTTTTATCTGTTTCAAAAACCATCACCCTTCGCCTCTTCATTAATAAGTTTACTGAGTTTATTAAAGAAAGCAGTTCTACCAAATTTACATAAACACAACTTTTTGAAAACCTTGTGGTTTCATAAGCTGTAAAAAAAATCAACTAATTAAAGATCTAAAAACAACCGTATTTTCCAATCTTGACAGTTTGGGCAAGATAAGTTTCGTACAGAAAAGTTTTTTAAGAAAGATTTTCAAAAAAAAGTATAATATTAGAATACAGAATTTACGACTCTTTTAAAGAGTAATCAATGTTTTAAAACAGAGTTTTTAAAAATTTGAAAATAATACTGCGAAAATTAGAGTAGGCAAAAACAACTTATATCAAAGTTTTGTATAAACCATTTTATATTCTTTGCAGTTACTTGGAAGTACCTTCTGAATTTTGAGCCACTTTCTCATTTGACTATCAATTTCTTGTATGGCTTACATTGCAGAAAAAGTTACATAATTGACAACGAATTACTCAACAAATTAAGGCAAGTTTTATGTCACCTGTAAGAAACAGAAATGTTCAATTTTAATTAAAGTTAATTACTCAAAAAAGCTTTGCCTTGTCGAATGCGCGAGATGCAGCACATTTTCAAGAAATGTCACTTTTCGATAGCAAAAAAGTGAATCAACTTCTCTATTTGTTCGCAAGCAAGCTTCTTTTACAAGAAGCCAATAATTTTCAATGCATTTACTCAGACGCGTGAAAATAAGTCGGGACTAGTAAAAACGCGAAAAATTGACTAGTGAAAACTGAGAAAAAAGAACGACTTGAAGTTTATAATGAGTGGTTTAAGATTCTGTATATAAACTTCTTTTTTAAGAATTAGCTCTCTTCTGTAATTTAGACTTGCTTAAAACGTTAGAGGAAAAATTGCTATGATAGAATCAGATGAGAAATGTTGGTCAATAAAGAAAGAAAGAAGCAAATCAAATTTTTGAGACCAAGTTCAATTTCTCTTTAACTGATCCAAATGATTTTTCTGTAGAAGACGACGGTATTAGGAAATGTCAACGTTTTTACATAACCTGTCCCTTCTCTTACTTCAACGACTGAAAAAAACTTTCTTTTGAAAGATGCCAAAATTATAAGACATTTCCATTTCAGATTTTTGTTTTTCAGATGAATTAATCATTTGCTTTGAGCTGTAAGCACCGTCACGTTAATAAAGCTATCTTTCATTATTCCTAAATATTTTTGTACTCTGATTGTGTAAAACTAAGACTTTTTGCTTATTCTATTTCTGCCCACGGTCGAAATAAATAATTCAGCACTTTACAGAATAACATGACGTTTAACAGTCTTTCAAATAACCGCAAAAAATGCTGGCTAAATATTACTTTTAATAACTTTGTATTTTAGTGCCTTACATTTTCTAAATCTCTTGCGTCTACGCGAGCATCTTCTTCAATCAAACACTCTACCACCTTTTCGTGCCCATTGAAGGTCGTAATCATTAGAGGAGTTATCTAAAGCGAAATGAAGAATATATTTTGAATAAAAAACAATACATCTTTTCTCCTTTTTTTTCGCGTTTAAAGGTGAGTTTATTTGACCTTACAACTTGCGGTACAAAAAGCAGCAGAAATAGCAGTATTTTTTACCAATAAGTTAGTCCTTCATTTCGAAATTTACATCTGGTTGAACAAAAATGTTCAGCCAATTCAAAACTTCATTATAGCAAAGTTACACGGTTAACTGACTATTTGTAGCAATTTTTTCGCAAATTTCATGTTTAATGGCCTACCCCATATTTATCTTTAGCATCAACATCACATCCTTTTTCTATTAAATACTTTACAACATCAATATGTCCTTTGGAAGATGCTTTCCACAATGACGTTCTCTGAAAAAAACAAAAAAAACATTTTTGCCACTTTATCATAACTTATAACCATTATGTTCTTACTGCTTCGTTATTTCAATAAACAGTGATATACTATCAAACATCATATACATATAAAATAAATTTTCACAAAAAGTATAGATTAGCACTAGTAACTAAATATTTGTAGCAGTTTCAGAGAGTTTTTTGCAAAATTCATTAGTCCGGCATACCCATCTTTAAGCTTCTGAAAATTGTGATAGCAGAATATCATAGTTCGAGTAGCATTTTCCTGTTTTTCAAAGAACTGCTAGGAAAAACTTTGGTGTTAGTTAATAACCTACTAGCAAAAAACTTTTAATTTGCACCAAAACTTGAAAAATGATCATCGTTCAAGAAAAAGCATTTTAAAACAAAAAAGGAACATGAAAACGCTGCAAATACAATCGTGCTCTGATGCTACAGTACTGTTACTAGCAACAATTGCTTAACTTTTTTCTTAAATAAACAAATCATAATTCACTTTTCAATGTGTTACCTCATTTTCATCATTAGCAGCGACATCAGTCCCGAAATCTACCAAAAATTTAACGATATCAAGGCGACCTTTCTCTGATGCTATCATTAGAGGTCTTTTCTAAATGATGAACCAGAAACAAACTCAAGTTTTAACTTATTCAGGAATAGTTCTAACCAACTGTAAAAAATCTGTTTTTAAGTTACCAGTTGTTACATTAAAACACCTGCAACTTTACTTTAGAAATTGTAAAAAACTACGAAAAATAAGAAAAAACAAAAAAACAATCCCCAAACTGCAAAATATCTAGAAACTGTTTGCTGTGCAAAGAAGCAAAAAAAAGTTGGGGCAGAAAACCTTCATGCGTCAGTGTTTATAAGTATAACCAGAAACGTGTTCAAGTAATTGTAGAGCATGGCAAGGACATTTTTTGATTAACTAGCGCCGTATCACAACTCATGCATGCAATAGCCATTTTTAAAAAACATTTCTCAAAATAAGTTTAGAAGCAATAAAGCAGATACATTTTCTGGTTAGAGGAACAAAAAAACAAATTTTTTATTTTTAAAGTAGCAAAAAATCTATTCAAGTGATCCGGATAATACTTTGCGGTAGCAGTAAGCGTTAGAAAAAACACGTAACCAAAATCGTTACATCCTACTAAATAATTTTAAAATGCGAAAAAGACATTTAAACCAAATCATATGAGCAGGCGGAAATAACATGCAAAAGCGATTAAACACTCCATTTTTTTTACCAATATGTCAGAAAGATATAAATTCCGTATTAGAGTAATTTTTTGAAAAATTTGGTTATTAATTTGAGATGTTTATTTAGAAAACCAAATTACTGTTGAAAGTTTGTAGGTTTTTAATTTCAACAATTTTTTTCATTACCGGAAATTCAAAAAACAGTTAAAAACTTTAAAAAAAATTTTTTTTTTTGTTTTTAGTGATGATTCCCAGAGTATTCCAAATAATAAAAACTGGCTTTGTAGTAGGCATTACAGACAAAAAAAAAGCCTTCCAGAAATGCACATGTGCGAAAACACACATGTGCGAAAAAAAGACAAGTAACCCTTAGCCAGACATACACCTTCGAACAACTTTTTTTAAAGTTTCTGACAAGTTTTGGTTGATCTAGATCCAACACTCTATGTGAGCAAAAACTCTTTCAAAGTTGCGGCAGGCTCGTATAGAAAACACGGACCAGCTCGAAGAACGACTTATAACTCAACGACATTCAGTGGCTCCTTGTACGATTGAAGCGTTTGAGTAAGTCGTTTTTATAGCATTTTAATGATTATAAGATCTCTTCAAAATAAACTCACTGGGTAAATAGAAACCATTACAAAATTATATTTATATTATGCTCTATGCTCAACTAAGCTAAATTGTTTCATCAAGAACGCATTTCCTTTTGCCAAAGTCTTTAAAAGTACCTTGGAAGGAATGGTTCTGTGCACAGTAGAATGGTACTGCTGTGTAAGGTGAAGAGCCGACGTGAAATAAAGCAAAGTACCTCTTTTTGACAGTCTGACGCTTCAAAGCAAAAACAGTGCGGAAATTACAAGTGCTGCTAAATAACTAAATCCCCTATGTCTGCTAAGGTGCTTTGAAACGAAACTTATCTTCTGAACAACTTGGTAAAATGTGTAGTCATAGTAGAGTGGCGTTTAGTAGATGAGTTTGTTACAAAAGTGGGAAATTGAACAATTTCCAAAATTACATGTTCTGTTCAGTTCTGCACTGCAAAAAAAAAGTGCTATACTTGAGGAAAGCATGTAATCCAAAACCGTCATGAATTTGTTATTATCTCTCTTCCCAAAAAGCAGCGCTCCAGAAGAGAACTGTGTGGTAAATTTACCTCAAAAAATGGAACTGTTAAGATAGAAAATATGAAACCTAGGGGAAGTGTCAGATGATTTTTGCAAGCTTCTAGTATAACTGTTGTGAAGTAGGAATTAAATTTGTAACATCGTGAGGTCCTTTCCCACAAAATTTAACTCTTAACTCAGCTATTTTCCTTGCAAGATAGAAAGCTTTAGCTTTCCTAAGGTTTCTGCTACAGGTCATTGTCTACACAAGCAACCAAAACTGCACAGAGTCCGGTGAACTAATTTGGTAGTAGAAATCTCTTCACTTTTGCTTGCTCTGTTTCACGACCATTTTTTTCTTCAATCTGTTAGGGTGGGGGGGAGTCTGCAGTAGCATTTCAACCAGTCATTGCCTTGAGTTTGTCGTGCCAAACAGTGTAGCCAGCGTTGCGAGACATCAGTAAAAGTGTAAGCTAAATTCATGGCATGCATAAAAAGAATAAAGCAACAGTGGAAAAATGCGAGCAAAATGAAAGCGTCGAAATCAGCAGTAAAACTAGTAAAAGAGTTTTCCACACAGGAGGTAATAGACAACACAAAAATTCGGCCACTATAATGTAAAATAATACTGCCTAAATGGCAAAATGCATATTGTCACGTAAAAAAATATTTAAGATTACTTGACAAAAACCAAACTTGTAATGAAATTTTTTGCAAAACTACTAGCTAAGATGTCTTATTCCTTTTTCACTTTATTATTAAAAGCTGTGAAAAACTGCTAATTTCTCTAAGGCAAGTAACTGTTGAAAAAGTTGAAGAAAGATAATATGACTGTAATAAAAGTTTTTAAAATAAGCCAACCATAGCTTCTTTTGTTTTTTCCTGCTCGAAATACGGGTGTGTTTCTAGCAGACTACGAATACTACTCAGGTCACCATTTTCGGAGTACTCAGAAAGAGGTTCAATGTAGTAGTATTCCATCTAAACTGAGAAAACATTATAAACACGAAAAAATAAAATAGATGCATAAGAAAATTTACGTCGTAAATGTTTTTCTAAAAATGTTAAATAAGTATGAAAATCTTGGAAAAGAAATAAATCACGATACCACATCGTGAAAAGCGTGAAGACTGAGAACCCTGAGACAAGAAAAAAATGATAAAAGGAATGAGAAAAATGAGCCAAGCGTACAGAGTTTGACTACTCATAAAACAAAATATCGAGTAAATTTAGGACTAATAGATCAAACAACGTCTTGGCAAAGAGAAGTCAATACTGATAAAGTTTAAAACTGATAAGGTAATTTAGAAAGACAGCCTTTTAAGGACTCATGTTTTTCTACACGTCTAAGACAGCGGCCTTCAAAAATGTCCCTCCTTTCAAATAAGCCGGTCGTAGTAGCAGCAACGCGGTTGAGATAACTCACTGTAGAATGTATTTTGGTTGGTCTAGTTTTGAAAAAAAACTTCACAGTCTTTCTTAAGCAATATCTGCAAAGAAAACGCATCAGTCACAGTTTAGCATTTATGAATACAGTAACTTATGATGTTTAGGTTTGACCCGTAATTAAAGTAGATAAACAGAGAAGTCAAAAATGAGAACGATTGAAATATAAAAGGTGGTCGAAATGGCAAATTTACAATAGAAGGTGGCTAGCTGCTGCACATTACCTAAAGAGAGGTTCTTAGAATTATAGCAGACAGAATCACTACAAAGGAGGGGCAGTTGTAGAAATAACTGTGAGGCTTATTTAAGATCGCTGTCTTCAACTGAATTTAATGCGAACAACTTCCGTAATATCGACTGCATCTAAGACAATGGTTGTCAAACTGCAACTTACTTTGAAGCACTGTAGACTGCATTTTTTGTGACAACAACCTCTACAGCCTAAGTGCGGTTATACTAAGTTAAAGGTATCATATCAAGGTAAGTTAAATACATACGCAACTTTTAAGGAATACGTAGAACCAGGAAAACTTAAAATAGATTGGTACAAATCATTAGTAAGAAAAAAATTGAAAATTATAAACAGAAGACTTCAAAATTTATTTATTAATGCAGAATAAGAACTTACTAACCAGTTTAAAAATAGTATATAATGATATAAACTAGTTTAAAATGATATAGTGTAATTCAAATTTGAAATAAACACTTCAAACTAATTTAAATTAACTTGTAATTCACAAAATTGCTGTACCTTCACTTAGACATGGCCTATTCTCACTAATTATTGATTCTAAATCGTATCCTCCTTTACTTTTGCTTCTAAAATACACTACTGCTGAATAGGCCCTCTCAGAGACATCGGTCAGATATAGAAAGATTTAGCGAGTTTATCCTGATAAAAGATCTAGAAAGCGACTCAAGCCAGAAAGTATTAGGAATTCAGTGCCAGTTGCAGAGAGATGAGCTAGAACTAGGATTTGGTAAGAAGATTTTAGGGAAGAACGTATAACGAATTTTATTGCGTCTTGCGCAGAATTACGATTTGTTGAGGTTGTTAGCTCCAGCGAACTTGAAAGGATAAATTTTAGTACAGTCAATGTGAAACTGTTGGTTAGGTGCGATGGGCAACTTTCGAACGAAATTGCGAGAAACATGTTAGAGATTCATGAAGAGCGGAATGAAGTGAGCCAGCCATTCAGAAATAGAAAACTAGCAGATCAGTAACCAAAAACATAAGAATTGAATGCATTCAGGTGTCTCTGAGAGGA